ACCGAGGAGATTAGGAGAATGAGGAGATGGCGTAATCATAACCGAAAAAACTGCCGTTAGTCCGTTACGTCGGCACTCGGCAGTCAGCTGTTGGTTTTGCGCGGGCCGACTTACCAATTAGTACCAACTTGCGCTGTTATCAGTGAACATGATATTAATATTTAACATTGCAACCCTACGAAAAAACCGCGGTAATCGGGATCCAAAGTTCGAGTCACGATAGAGAGCGTTCTATTCGTGTACAACGTATGACGAAAACAACAACGGCTCGCGGCTGGCGCGTACCGATATGCAAGACGTATCTGGTATCTGGTATGTGCTTTTGCGTTTGCACACTCCGTGGCGTCGTCCGTGAATCTACTGGTCGCGTTTAAGTCCCCGCATTTTAATTGGCCGAATGCCGGCTGGGTTAACCGGATGTTACCGCAATGTAGAATAAATATATTCAACGTACGGTTACAGTGAAGCATTGTTGATACTACCGCGATATATATCAATTTATATTTTAAATATTATAATCAATAATCTCGATTACTGCTGATAAAAACATGTTTAACCACGTCTACCAAGATAATGTAATAAAATGTCGCATACTTYTATATTACCTATGTGATCCGTGTGTTGTGTGTTATGTCGTTGTGTGTACAACCAACAAATTATAGACATGATGATGACACCAAGTAGAGTGTAAAGACACGTCGTCGTTTACGTCAAGTTGATACGACAATAGTACAATACATAAAACATAATATTATTATATTATGACCACGGTCAATATATACACTTGAGCACGGCTAAAGTTTAAAGACCGTAAACAGTACGATTTGAGAGCTGCTAGTACAGTTACGAGCGATATTTGCGACTTCCGTTCCACCGATATACATCGCAATACTGTTAGTGKTCACTAATCTATAATTTCGTAATGCTTGACAATGTAATGTATCAGTCATATCCGTGATCTATCGACTGTGCACAGCCAGTCGCGAGAGTCGTCCGACACTCCGACGTCTGTAGGATTGCTATAAATTCCGCTTGTTTGTTTAGGAGATCGCTTGGTTGGAAAATTACGAGATTACAACGCGCTCAAAAGTTGCGAGACAATCGCGTTAAGTTAATATTGAATAGGTCTATGGACAGTCTTCTCATGTACGGTCTGTATGGACTATGGAGGGTCTAACTATCGAACTATTTCGTTATTATGTTATTATTTCAGTTATTGTTACTTGGACTGTAATTGACAATATTTTGTACTTGTAGCCAGTTCGACGTTACCTACTGGATGTTGGTCTTATAACCTAAACAACAATTTTAAGTAGTTTACGATATTGTGGCGAKCATGATCGTTTGCGTCATCCGTCGCTGAAACAGACCAAAATCGCAGAGTGCACAATAATATTATGTGTCGAGTGTTTTGACACGATTATTCCAACAATGCTAACTGTTGAGTTGACATAATATTGGTCATAGGGTGGGCAGACTTGCCGTATTATACTGCCAARTACCGTTTTACAAAATTATTTCCCGGTGTCCTCATATAAATTAACGCGACGCTTAATGGTCCTGTTTTTTTTTTTTTTTAATATGTCTATTTACATGCATAGAAAATATACAAAGAAAATGATTTGAAATCAAAAATGCATTCTTCAACTACTTATCTGTTTATATATATATATATATCAATAAATATATTATTATGCATTTTGTAGAACAATATTATTGTTTTCGCTATAGGTACTCGTATTATGATAAACAATTTGTACGCATCGACTGTCGAATTCGATTATTCGAATGAAAAGTTATTTTTGCCTTTATTCATATTGGATCAGAGCTCGTATACAGAGGCGACGACGACTACGATTCCGCGAAAAACTAAAGATAATACATAATCATTGTATAGTGCGTATGTACGTGTACATCATTATTTGTAAATGGGTATAATATAAATTCATTTGTAGCRACAGTCTTCATAAAATATTTAAAGTTTTTATATTTTGTCAGTTAGCGCCCAGCGTTTCATGATTTTCGAAATCATCCGAAAAATACTATTAATGGACAATAATATAGTTACTACTAATAAATACTAAATGCTAAATAAAATAATTTGTAAAATTATAATCAAATGTAAAAAAAAAAAAGATTTTTATTAATACATTTGTAAGCTATTTATATTATTTATCTATCATTAAGACAAAAATCCAAATATTTAGGTATTTCATTCAAAATATAAATTCATTTAAAAAAGATTAATTCCCGTATTTTCGTATTTTATATAAATATATCTTGCCACCCCACATACATGGAAATAAACGATATTACCGTTAGCTTTTATAGCGGATGCTTGAAAAATTCCATGGATGTAATGTATGTTATGTAAAATCCGCCTTGTTTATTTGTAATGACAATAAATAGGTACTTTGACGACCACCCTCCTCCCACATCCATCCAAATCCTCCGACTTAAGCGGTACTTGACGTTCCCCCCCTGGACTGAGACATTCTCGTAAACACAGTACAGTTTGTTTGATTTTTGCATTAGGCGATTATTTTAATTTTGTACATTGTTTAATATTTATGTTGGTGAATTTTGAATTAGCAATAGTGTTATTATGGCGTATTAATGAATTATATTTTCGTTTACTTTAGTTTTGATATTACATTGAATTGACCTGCCTATTATAAAACTTAAAGTATAAGATTATTATCTAGGGCTCCATGTTAAATTTTAAACCTCAGGCTTTTATCGATATAATTTTTAAGTAAGATATGACATTTTTGAGATTCTACATCTTTAAAATGATCATAGCTGTTTGTACGTGTGTAATACTACGGAGACTTTACATGTGGGTGCAACGAGCCRACAACGTCCTCTTAAATTAATCGTGTGTATATTTATTAATTTGCAATGTATATTAATGTTTAATATTTTTGCATTTAATTTTTTTTCAAGGGAGAAATTGTCCCGTTTGGGGGGAAATTTACAATGAATCGGGGAGAGGGGG